CATGCCATCGATCGTGCTCGTTTGAATCGATAAATAATTAGAAAATCAATATATGTAAAAGGAAAACGCGTGCGATTTCATTTGAAGATCGGCAGGAGAGATCTCTGTTTTAAATAAATTCCTGTTCATCTGTATTACGGCAATATTAAGAGATTTGCATGTAATTACAATATTTATCATCAGAAGAATTACTTGCAAGTCTGTATAGAGCATTTTTAAAAAAAAGTTAAAATAAATAAATAATTCATTTGATGTGTAACTAGATTTGTGCTACAGAGTACGATAAAGTGCATATTTCATTGTAAATTTTTAAAAATTAAATTGCAGAATTTAGTGTTGTAGCAAGCTTTGTAGCTTTATAACAAACATTATAAAAAAAGTTTCATGTTAAAATATTGCTTCGAGATAAAATGTGAATTCAAACATGTATCTGCATAGATATATCTATAGATAAGGAATAGATAATCTGAGACCCGATTGCAACGTTATTTTAAATTTTAAACTTAATATATGATATGTATGACATACATTATGTATTAAGTGTCGCTTAAAGCTCAAATGATATTTGTGCGATCGGGAAATGTCTTATTGGAATTGACTTGTCAAAAAAAAATTTTTTGGCTTTCAAACTGGTGACGTCATTCATCGCGAGTTGTTGGAACCCACTTGTTTTTTCGGTCGATAAAATCAAGTCCATACTTACCATCATTAAAGAAGAGCACGCGAATATAATTTCCACTAAGTTCCGTAGGCAATGCTGATGGCACTTCGTATGAATCAGCGCGCATGCGCAGATCGCGCGTCCCGCTGCGTCGTATCGTAAGTTTGCACTTGATTCAGCTGTTGTCCGGTCGGCACCACGCGGGACTTGTGCCTTCTCGTATCCTCGGAAACTTCGCAACAACGGTAAGTCGAGGAACGCGATTCCATTCGGGACAGAGACTACGAGGAAGGCCTCGTTGACGAAGTCGCCGACGGCAGCCGACGCGCGATGACGGGGTTCACGGAGAGCGCCCTGGTCAAACGGCTGATGGATCTGAATCCGTCACAGCAAAGCATCCAGACGCTCTCGCTCTGGCTGATCCATCACAGAAAGCATCATCCGACCATCGTAAAGATCTGGTTCAAAGAGATGTGCAAAGGTACGAGTCTATCGCGAGAATGTCCCGGTTTGTCCTGCCGCCGAATCGAAATGTTTACCTGGGCTCGACGACGCCGCAGGATGACCCGGGACGCTTCGTCACCGAAATTTTGAGGTTATGATCGTGTGCGTTATCGCTGCTGCACGACGCACCGTTAATTGCCACGATTACGGTTACGTAGTCGAATAGATATCTATGAATGTTATTTAGAAGAGAAACTTTGTTAATTGTTAATTTTTTAAGATTGAAGAAAAAGAGGATAAAGGGTTAAAGAAAATTACGTTGGCTTAAATTTTCATGCTTATGTATTAAACAAGGTTTTTGAAGACATTAAATATTATTGCTATTCGTAAAAGATAATGCCAAGGAAGTGATACGTTAATATGTTATTATAGAAGCAAATGTTAATAATGATAACATTTAAATTTACTATGAGGCAAATAATCAAATAGGATACATTTGGAAGTGAAAGATTAAACCTATAAATATATGTATAAATAAGTTAAATAATTATAATTAAAACATTATATTGTAAACACATGAATCTTTAGGATCACTACTTATATAATCATAATTTTTCTAACTTTAACTCCTTATGTGAAAGTCACCTACATAAGTTTAATATTTCTTTACACAAATTTTTACAGTGAAGGACAATCGCAAGTTGATGTTCATGTATCTAGCAAATGATGTTATCCAAAATAGCAAGAAGAAAGGGCCAGAATTTGGAAAAGAATTTGAGACAGTTTTGCCAAAAGCTTTTGAGCACATGAAAGGTTTCGATGAGAAAACAAGAGAGCGATTGAATAGGTTACTACAAATCTGGGAAGAGAGAGGAGTTTATGACAAAGCACAAATAGCCGAATTTAAAGCAGCTTTCACGGAATCTGAAAAGGATTCTGTTATGCCACCAAAAAAGAAAGCAAAGGTTGAAATAGAAAAAGTAAAGGTATGAAGGTTTTAAATAATATTAAGAATTCCTGATATATAATTAAAATTTTTATAATTTATTTATATAATTTATATAATTTATATAATTAATTTTTATAATTTTAATTTATATAATTAAAATTTTGTGAAGCTAAAGTAAATATTTAAGACATATTCAAAGCCTTTAAGGCATTAGCTATTACAAAAATAAGAAAGTTTACATAATGTTTAGTAGTACAATGTAATTCGTAAATACAATTTTTCTATGTACTGAATAATTTTGATTTTTATATTAACTAAATTAAAGTTTTGAAAAGATCTATATGTATTTGTTGTGCTTGTAGAAGGACAAGAAGGAAAGAAAGAAATCAGAGACTGAAATAGAAGTAGACGGCACCAAAGAACTTCACGTTACGTTAAGCCCAAGAACTCCCGGCGGTGATCCACCAGAAACCGAGGAACTAATCAAAGCCTTAATGGTTAATATCAATTATACAAGCGACAATAATGATGCGGAATTTGTATCGTTAGCAATAAAATATTTTGTTCATATGAAAATACATGTTGAATCCATGAGGCATATCAGCAGACACTTCGACAGCCGATACATCCACCCTATCGGTTTTATATGTTTTTATTTAGTAGTGTTGCCGCTTTCTTTCACTCCAAATAGGGTTACATTTGCGTATTCCTTTTTTTGGTTCTTGTAAGCTTCGCCTTTCACAAAATAAATCGAGCGAATGCTGATTTCTTTTTAGCGATTGATGAGCGCTTTGCTTTAATAAGAGGAATATTACTCTCTGTATTATCAATGCCACATTTTTAATTGACTGTATTTTTTTTTATTTATCGCGTTGCAGCAATATACCATATGTTTTGTTATTCTTCTTACAAATAAAGTTACATTTATTTTTAATATAACGACAGTAGAAAAATTCCGCAAGACGCGACGAATCGTTGAGAGGTCCAGAACATCATTAACGAAGCCTTCTGTGCTTTTCAGGACCTGGAAAATACTGCGTCCTCAGATGCTGGTGTTAGAGAACGTATTGCATCCTTACCACCGGAAGTCTCTGAGGTTTCGTTGCTTGCGAACCTCGCTGATCGGACAGCTGCAGATCAATTGAGTGCAGCGGTGAACGAAGCTGCTGCTCTTCTCGCCGACTATAACGGACGGCTGCAAGCCGAGATGGAGGACAGGAGAAGACTACTGACGATGCTGCGGGACTACACTTTAGCGCAAAGACAACTACTTCAACAAGCTCAAAGTACTTTAGAGGTATTAATATTTCTCCTCTTTTCTTATTATTTAAATAAATTAAAGTAAATTTGAAAAAGGTATTAGATATAATATACTAAATTTTTTTTTCATACGTAGGATTATAAAGAGAAGCTCAAGAAGGTATGTGCGGTTCGATCGGAAGTAAAGTCTCACATTTCGAATCTCCCCGATTTGACGCAACTGCCCGATGTGACTGGCGGCTTGGCGCCTCTTCCTTCCGCCGGCGATCTATTTTCCATGCACTAGTGTAAGCTCAGTAAGGCATTTGGGCAAGTGCTGTTCATATAGTTATCACTTCAGTTTACACGCGGATATAGATGAAAATCATAAAGAGATCTATAATACAATAGATTTGTACGACGATGAAAGTGTGATTGTAGTCGATGATGACTTTATACTATAAAATATTTGATAAATTCGATACACAGGATGTTTCATAATTACTTATACATTTTTCGTGAGCAGAGGGTTATACTGAGTAAAAAACCCTCTATTATTTTGCAACTTTCTTTCAATAATTAATGAAATTAATTTATAAAAATCTGAAACATACATTTGCACGAAGAGATAGTCCCCCCCCCCATTACATGTAGTTATAATTGCTATAGAATAAAATGTTTGGAGGTGTAATAATAATAGAGCATAGAATTTGGAGGTGTATAAATAATACAGAGCATGCATTACACCTTTCCAAACATCCCTATCTCTTCGAGCGAATGCATGTTTATTTTATAAATTAATAATTGTTTAATTTAATTAATGATTTAATTGCTTTTTAATTATTGCAGAAATTGCAAAATGATATAGGATTTTTCTATTTAATATAGATTCTATCTGCTCAGGAAAAGTATATAACTAATTATGAGATACTCTGTATATACATTATATATACATATATATACATACATATATATACACACACACACACACATACGCGCGCGCGCGCGCGCGCGCGTGTGTGTAGTAAAACGAGAACTCCCTGTATGTTACGTGCGTAAGTAACGAAACGAGGAAGTACCGAGTGGGAAGATGCGTAAAATTACTGAGGCTGTTGATACTGAAAATAAAACTGTTCATAATCGTTTTTTGATGGGGATAAGAATTTTTTATTTATACATGTACATATATAAATAAGAAGTTCTTATGATTACGTGAATGACTATTCTTATTGCGAATAAATGAATATAAGGACGATAAAAATCTATCGTGCGCTGTAACTCTCGGTTTTGTACTTTAAGTGACGAGTTGCCTAATTTCTTTTTGAATCCTTTTTTGCGGAACAGCGTACCGTATCTAAATAGGCTAACGTAGAATCATTTTTATGAAAAATAAATTGTTACAGAAAAGAGAGGTATCTTATATATACATCTTATATGTACATCTCCTAATGATACAAAAGACAATGTTCCTGTAACTCATACGATTTATTCCGTAAACTGATTTATCTCAAATTATATAATGTATGCATGTAAAAAGCGCGCATTATTAAATGTGCGAAAATCGTAAATTGCATAAAATTATATGCAACCCAACATTTGGCAAAATTATCACGAAATTTATCGATAGGCTAGCCAAGACTTTCTACTCTTGGTACCAAATCGGCGACAAAAGTATGTACACACATACTTTTAAAAAGCAACAGGGTTTGCTTTGTGCTCTGTACAATTGTTAAAGACATCTTACAAGACATTTTTCACATACGCAATCATTGTCCATTGGCGGTACGTTGAAAATAGTACTCTGTGGTCGGATAATCATTTGTACATATTACATATTATAGTCTAATATGATTTCAAAACTGACAAGACGGCTCCTCGTGAATATTTGATTGTGAATGAACCGTAGTCCGCATAGATTATAATATTGTACATGTAACTATTTTAAAAAGACAAATGCGTGATTGTGCATACTGAGAAAAAAACGGAAAAGAAAATTGTAACATGCGGAATATTACTACGAATAAATGTTTTAATCGTTATATACATCGTGGCTTTGAAATCGCAGTTTCGAAAGTCGTAATTACCACCTCTCATCTGTTTGTATTCTCCTAATACTTTGCTTTTTTAGGAAACATTCAAACTGTTCGAATCTGCAGGTAAAATTTCAGGAATTTTCGGAACTCGTGGAACTTTTGAATTTATGAAACTTACTCTCCGATTTGATTATTTCTTTTTTACATTTTAGATCGTGATATCAAGAAAATATTAATTGGTATTAATTAATTAATGGTATTATTCAAGCTTCGAAAAAATTGCGATTCCAAGATTTAGCACATGCTCAGGTAGATCACATATTATATTCACATATATAAGTTTAATATGCATCATAAAAGATCACATAATGCATAATTAATTAAAAATCCATAAGTCAAAATATATAACTCTAAATTCTCTACTTGTCATAAATTTCAAAACGATACTGTAACAAGAATGACTGAGCTCATTTTGTATTTATTTCTCACATTTACTAAATAGTCGCAAATATTCTAAGTTTCGTGAGGATGGGGAGGTCTCGTAGGTTTCAAGATTAACTTTCCAGTATCGTCACAACTCATGTTGAAATCGCCAAGTACACTCCTGGCTCGCTGAGTTATAATACTAGGTGCTATCACTCGTCTGTGTACTCCCAGCATGAATAATATTACTGCAAAATGATTTCCGAAAATGATTTAACAACGTTACAATCTGCAAAGTCAATTTGTGCAAAATGCAAATAGGATTCTTTCATACCCACCTAAAATTACACTAGCCATTGTAAAGAATGGATGATTATATAAACTCTGTGTGAAGGGCACTGCTGATGTGTTTGGATCTGTCAACCAATACCAAGCACCGATAGCAGTGAAAGTGGACACTGCACACAACAACACTGCAAAAATATTCAAATTTCTTGAACCATCATTAGGACATTCGACAACAAAACAAAAAAAAACATACGTCTCCATCGCTTGGTGGCCGGTTGTAGACTTGCAATAACCTCGGTGAGTCGCCTTTCGAAAGCTTTCAAATCTGAAAATGTAAAGTAAAAGTTTATCTCGACAGGCAATCATCAAAACTGACACCTATATCCAAGAATCAGTCGAATATCTCTAATACTAAGTGGAGCTAACCGAACTATCTCTTCTCGAACTTGAGACGCAAACCGAGAACAATTAAAAATAAATACAAGCCGTTGACAGATTGTTTATCTCTACACCGGTTTAAATGACACATCCATCTGTCACATTTTTAATTGCATTCACCTTCGCATACTGTCTGATCCAACGACATAACTCTCTACAGGTTCAGGATACACATCTGTGAGATAAAGATGAAAAATCACGTATTTGCAATAAGTGATTCGTATGTTCGATAGTAATTGATGAATAAACAATACTGTACCGCGTGCGATGATAGCATTCGCGGTAGCGTCGTGAAGTCTCCGAAATAATCTCTCGCGAATTTTCTCGGTCAATAATACATCGACGAAGTAAATTCTCTTTTTATTGTTGGTAATACAGTTCTCTGCAGAATTATAAGAACCAGAAAAAATCAGAATGTGCTGTATATTTTAAGATTATATTTATAGGATTACTTTATTTTTTTTGTATAATGTTTACGTGATGTTTAAATAAACCTTTTTCATATAGATAATACGTACATATAAATTATTGTAAATTGGATAATGCAAAATACAAAAAAATGTAATTAAGTTTTAAAATTGTTAATATATTTGCTTGTAGTGTATTAATAATAAAGATATATAATATTAACTATTAAAAAGTTGTAGTAATTGATAATGTATCAAATTTTCATTATATCAGATTCAAATAAAAGTATCAATGTATTTTCTCAAAGTATATGTGTAATAAATACATATACAATACATATGATATTATAATAAATACATATACAATATATAATAAATACATGTATAATATTTTATATCATATATATGTATTTATTATATATTAATTTGTCTAAATATTTGTCTAAATAAAATATACTATATAAACAATATATGAATCTTCTGTCATTCATAGGTTTACATAAGTGATGTATTTTATATATGATTTACATAGCTTACATGTTTACTTGTTTAGCGTAATGTAGATTATTTATATTTTATTTACGAGTAAAAACGCATAACCTTGGTTTTTATATCTGTACCTTGATATTGATGATATTGATGATATTGATGATATTGATTGTAATGTATATATTTTATAATATTTAGAAATACATGTATTATATATAATTATAAATACTATTTATATTATAAATAAATATAAATACATATATTTTTAAAATTATTCTAAACTAAAAAATTCTAAAAAAACTGCAGTTTTCAGAATTTTAAATTTGATAATTTTAACATGAAAGTATAAGTTTATTAAAAATTAATAAAATGTTAGGAAATTATAATTAAATAAAGAACATTATTTAAAATTCCATAAATTATTTAAAAAATTTATAAAGTGCGATTCTTTAAAAATTTGACCTTTAAATCGCAAAAATCAGAAATCTCGAAAATTAACAAAGAATCAGATAAATGTAATCAATAAGAAGACGTTACTAATCCTATAATTTAAAATCTTAAGAATTTTCCAAAATTTCCAAGAAATACGATTCCGAGAATCAATCTTTCAAGTCCCAGAAAACTCAATTAAGATACAGAGTACCAGTAAAACGTAATTGGCAAGAAAAAAAAAAGAGAAAGAGATTGCGTCATTGAAAATTCCAAAAATTATAATATTATCTAAAAGTTTAAGAATTGCGAATTTTGGAATTTCAGGATTTTAAATTACAGAAATTAAAAATTGCAAAATCGACAAATCATATCAGAAGAATATATTCTGCAAAGACGTTGCACTATTTATAATTCCGAGAATTGTCTTCATATTCGAGATCTATGTAAGAATTCGATTTCACCCTCTTGATATTTTCTGTATGGTTCACTTATTTTTCATGGAAAAGCTCATCACGTCTTCTCCATAAAGGGAGAAGCCCGCCGGCGTGGGAATGTGATCTCTGACCGCGAAAGTGGAGGTCATTATCCCTTATCGTGACACGGTCAATATTATCGACCCTGAGGACACGGTGCAAGGGAGTATGATTCGCGCGCGACAGTTCCTATGGAAACCCGCGATCGAATCCGCGACGCACATTGGACTTCCTTGGCGCCCAGGGGGCTACCACGCGCGAACCCCACCGCAGTCACACGAATATTAACGCGACGGGGTGGTCGCGGAACTCCGCGAGTCCGTGTTCCGGAAGACGAGACTTCGTCGTTGGAGGGGTTGCGAACTGTCTTCTCGCAGTTAATCGCGGAGAACATTGTTCTTGCGACTCCATTCACAAGAATTCCCGAGACGATAAAACACCCAGTCTGGGAGGAAGTCGGTTGACCATCGAAACTGGGTCGCGATCCATCGCTGAAACGATTTCCGTTCGATCGAAGAACGAATGCGGAAAATGCCTCGGTTCGCGAAGTTCTCGATTCTTATATTCGGTTCGATGATAATCAATAAAAATGTTGACGACGTCATCGCGTTCGGTGTTGGGAAAGAAATAAAGTCTGCCGAAATTTCCGGTGACTAAGTACTGCGTCATCTTAGTGAAAAATGATGCTTGTAAAGTTTAGAAATTATTTTGTTAAATGTTAAATTAATAGCACTATAAGCTCAATAATCAAACTAACAGAATTCTAATCTTGTTTGTTTTAAAATCGCCTACCAAATAATTAAATTTTTAACAATAAGATTCTTGCAATTTTTCAAAGTGAAATTTAATGCGATAAAACTTACTCTACAAAGGAAAAAATATGATAAAAACATGAAAATTTGAAGCTTCTTATCTTCAATTTTGAATTAATGAAAAAGTTTGTTTATCTTTTTCGGGCATTTCGAAGCACAACACGACACTTTGCGCTGCAATTATAAATCGATAAAAAGTATTGATCGCGAAATATGTGCAAATAAATTTTTTATGGAAGAAATGGAATGTTAGCAAACAATAAGAAGAGTTTTCGATGTAATTTCGAATGATGAATCGTGCTGATGGGAATTGCCGCTGACTATTGCTGATCCCCGAAGAGGTAGGCAGTCGAGAATGTCAATCGTTATGAGTTTAGTTTAGGATCCTCTTTCGCCTTTTCCGATCGTCCATTGTGGCTGCCGCGCTTATTCGTTACGTCTTCCCGCGGGAATTGCGTAATCGAGGATGACTGGAAGGACATCGTTGGTGGAACAGAAGAGACTCCAATGGGCGAAGGAAAGGGGTAAGTAAACTAACATATAGCAATTGATACTTTTTATTATATTAATCAATTTTTATTCCTTTTGACAAGATAACATTTTATCTTAAACCTATATATTTATACAAAATATAAATGTTTATACAAAAATTTATACATAAATGGTAGTGTGTGTGTGTGTGTGTGTGTGTGTGTGTGTGTGTGTGTGTGTGTGTGTGCGTGTGTGTGTGTGTCCACTACATATATATAATAAATATATTTATTTATTTGTCACGCCAGATATTTATGACAAATAAGTAGGATTTTTTTTATATATTTTTTTTAAATTTAAGAATTTAAGTTGTATATTATGTTATATTAACTTGTTACACGTAATTACTTACGATGATTAGGCGTTACTTCAAATAAAACAATTTATACACTGTAAAGTATTTTTTATCAATTACACAGAAGAAATGGCTCGTCTTGGTGTTAATTGGGGATCCCTGAAATCAGGCAATTACAATCGTACTCATATTCGGTAAATATGTTAAATTACTGCAAAAATATGCTATTATTATAGCATGTTTCAGATTTAATTGAACTTGAATCATCTTATGCAGCACAAAAAAATAAGTTACTTGCAAATGATGATATGTACATCCCCCTCTCATTTAATTTTTCCCATCTAGTTCCCACATAGTTTTTCCCATCTAACGCCCACATAGTTTATTCCATGTAGTTCCTACATAGCTTTTCCCATCGTCTTCTCACATAGTTTTACCCACCTTCTTCCCACATAGTTTTTCCCATCTTCTTTCCACATAGTTTTTCTCATCTAGTTCCCACTATAGTTTTTCCCATCTTTTTCCCACATAGTTATTCTCATCTAATTCCCACATAGTTTTTCCCATCTAGTCCCTACATAGTTTTTCCTATCTTCTTCCCACATAGTTTTTCCCATCTAGTTTTCACATAGTTTTTCCCATCTTCTTCCCACATAGTTTTTCCCATATAACCCCCATCTAGTTTTTCCCATCTAGCCCCCCACATAGTTTTTCTGAATTTTTCCGATATAGCTTACACATAGTTTATCTCTTCTAGTTCTCACATAGTTTTTACCATCTAGTCCCCACATAGTTTTTTGCGTCTACTTCCCATACAGTTTTTTCAATGTAGCTTCCATCTAGTTTTTCCCATCTAGTTCGCACATATTTTTTCCTATTAATCGAGTTTTTAAATATTATTTTTTCTATTAAGATGAAATTGAAAATTTTCGTTTCTGATGATACATAAAACAAATATCTTCAAAATAGCACATACGCAAATGAAGCCAGATTGTCCTTGGGGGAAATAAAGGATAGACCCTCCGCACAACCCCTTCGTTCTGGACATTATGGGAGCACCGTCAGTCTGAAGAGTCTAGCGACGGAAAGTTCCGAGAATGGCAACAGCAACCTTAAATGCCTCGACTACAATGGCGGTAGTTTAATTAATCTTCGGGATCAGGTGGAATCTTCGCAAGTCAGGCGCAGAAGTCCCAGTTTGCCTCCAATTTTCAACAAGGAACAACGGCAATATTTTTGCCGGCTGGTACGTATTTTCTCATTAAATTACTTTTAATATTAAATAAATTATATATATATTTTCTTTTAACAATAAATTATCAGATGAGCCTAGCTCTAAAAATAAAAGATTATATGAGAAAGTTTAAAAAAAAGATTTAATAATTCGATTTTTATAAGTTGATTTTTTAGATGTTTAAATTATTTGAATGAACAACATTTCTTTCTGCGAAGAATGCAGTTTCTAGAAATTACAATATAGCAAATATAAAATTGATTACTCGTCCACTTAGAAAGAAATTATTCTTACTCGAGCTTTCGGGATCCGACGATCGATCAAAATTAACGACTACGTCTAATCACGATTTCATAAATGGCGAATGACCCTCGATAGTACATTGTTCTTTTCGCGAGGGAAAAAGCAAAAGTAAGGCAGTCCGGCAAATCGATTCTTATCGCGCCGTTGAAGTTCAACGACCCCAAGGCTATACACCTCGCTTTCAAACTTAAGAGTGACGAGCGGACATTATGGCTATCCTATTAGCCCCTACTGTTGGAATCGAACCATATAAATCTGATGTTATCGCAACCCTCATTACCCTAAAATATATTCTGGCTGAATTATCCTGCGACTGTGAAAAATTCACAAAATTCCGTAGTGATCTACTTTATTTTCTCTTTAAGAAAATTAAAGATGATTAATTGTAAAAATGGAGGACTTATATTGACAGCTCTTCTTTTCAACTTTTGCAAACATTTCTATGGTTAATAAATCATACGTGTATTTCTTTTATTTTACAAAGAAGTATTGTTGTGCGAGTCGCTCGTGTCGCGGCTTTCATTTCATATGTAAGCGGGTTAAAATAAGAAATAAGATCGTGCATGATTTATGCATTGCGTTCCGTCTCCGCCAGGTACGAAAGTAATAATATTCAACCGCGACACATATATAGGAACACGAAGTAACATAATTCCTCCCCTCACAAAAGCCGGAACCCTCGCAATTCGATCACGCAAGCTCGCCTCCCTTTCGCTTCCTGGAGGCGTCTTATCGTTACCATCTTGCCCTATAGGAACAACAACAGCGTGACTTCGGCGTGGAAGGATCGCGATACCAGTCACAAAGATCGCAAAAACTGGAACACCGTCGCCATCGATCTAACGAACGTCGCGAGAGCCAAAAAGAGGTACGACATTACGGCTCGCCGGGTGAAGAACGCGAAGGCGAGACTTCCGGTTACGCTAGCGATTCCGTGGATGTACCACAGGCGGGACAAAGTGAGTCCTGCCCATTTCCATTTTTTAAATTACGTTATCAGAATGTGAAATCAAAAAGAATCTTATACAAAATCTCGCTTGACGAATAATATTCAAATAAACATAAAGAGATGAAATTTTTCGACATATTCTTTGATAAACATCTCTTGAATCTTTCTTATAGAAATTTAATATTGAAAGATACTGATTAATTATTTATTTTAAATATTAAAAGCAGTGTTGTTTAGCAGTGTTTTTAATATTCAAAATAAGTAATTTCTAGTATTATATTGGCCAGTATTAAGTTAAATTTCTGTCAGCCCTTATAAAAATCTATCTTAATATTGGCCAATTTAATATTAGAAATTATTTATTTTGAATATTAAATTTTTATAAGAGATGACAGTAATTTTAACATATTTTGTTCTCCAATCATTTCTTTTGTCAATAATAATAAAATATCTGCATTTTCTTCTTTTTTCTCGAGGAATTCTGGTTGATAAAGCAGCGACCAGAATGGAAATGACGGAGAAAACGTGGCAGAATCCTTACTGCACTACCCCGGAGAGTTCACTGCCACCCTCGAGGAGACTTTCGCCGGGCAGAATGGGCGAACTCAATAGACCAAGGTGGGGTAGTGTCTGGGGTCAAGACGCAGCGAGAGGAGACCCACCGCCGCCTTCTTGGCTATCAAGATTAGGACAGTCGAGCCAAGTAATGATTTGACTTGTTGAGCATCCTCGAAAAGAATTTAAGAATATTTGCTTTGTTTATCAACTTTTATATATCGATCAAAGAAATTCATATGACTTTTCTCTTTGTTAAGGTCCTAGTAATCAATCATGACAGCGCCAGCAGCCCGGACAGTTCAACGACCGGTTCAACCGGCTCGGATATCAACAAGGTATCTTATCTTCGGGGTCAGAATATTCCGGTGGACACGGAAATTCTTCAGGAACGCGAAGCGAGACGGCAGAAAGCGTTGGAACTTCAGAACGCCATCAAGCAACAGCTCGAGGAAAAGGACAGACAGAGGAAGGAGGAGAAAGAGCGACGGATGAGAGAAGAGATGTTGGAAGAGGAGCGGATCCGGCGAGAGAGGGAAAGAGACAAAGAGAGGTAAAATAAATATAAAACATAAAAAAGAAAAATAAACCATGCTCGACGAATTCTCGCCGTAGATTCGAAGAGGAACAGCGGATGCTGCGCGAGAAGGAGGAAGCGAAGCTGAGGAAGGCGCAAGCGATGCGTGAAGTTCTAGAAGCCGCGGAGCGACTTGCGATGGAAGAACGAAAGAAGCGGCGAAAGCGAGAGGAATACACTGACGAGAGTACTGACGTGGTGACACAACAGTCCCCGAACGCGACCCCGAATACAAATGACAAACGCGAGGAACAGAACTACTCGCAGACGCAGAAGCAAAGCGCAAGTACGATTAGTTACCAAGAGGAGAGATCCAGTCCGCGGAACGCCAGCAAGGCCGAGCCTCACCATCGAGAGGTCGAAAGCGATAAAGACACGAAGGAGATTCACCCGCGAACGAATTACGCAGACAAATCGGAGGAGACCACGCTGGATGTGAATCCGAGGTCTCTCCAAGTCCCCGTGAGCAAAGACGTGGCGATCGTGCTGAGCGGTCGGCTGGAGGATCCGGAGATCCTGAACAAGGCGAACCTGCAGCTGGTGAATCTGGTGATGACGCCGAGATTCACGGAGAATCCCACGGATTACCTGTCGCTGGGAATCAACACGATCGTGAGGAGTCCTAGGAACCCGAGGAGGTCCTCGAGGGACGCCTCGTCCATCATCGTGGAGAACAGATTGCTGACGCCGAGCAAGTACAGAACACCGGCCGGCCGGGATTTCGGCACGCAGACAGACGTGGAATCCGACATCCAGGAGTTGCGAGAGAAGTTGCAGGATCAATCGATTCGGGACCAAGATACCACGAAGGACCGGAAGGACACGACGAACGCTAATCGAAGAACCGTTGAAAAGTGAGTCGCCACCGCGAGATCTCGATGTCGCATTTCCGGGCTTCTTAGAGCCGAAGCGACGACTGTGTCCTTCCCTGCATGCGGTAGTACCTGCCGGTAATTATCGTTTTTTTATTTCATACTGTACAGTTTGATAATAAGCTTGATGAACGAAAAGACGCTTTATCGTGAAATGTCTATCGATCCGCGCGAGGAAAGTGCCCAGTAAGTTGAAATGCTCTTAATTATTTTTCTTGAGAGATTAGAAAGCATACTTGGCTACACCTCGTTTCTCTTCATTTGTGATTGACATTGTTTGCTGTGATTCTCTTTTTATTTGGATTCTCTCGCTCGAGTTTGCTGCTTGAGGTTTGCTCCGCATCTTGCTGAATTTGACAAAGCTTAAATCCGCTATTGTTTTCGCCTGGCAGGAAACGCTTAGAAAAATTTTACAAAAATTACGATACTTCAGTAATTCAGCTCAATTGTAATTATTCAAAGGTCGAATAATACGGGTTCCGAAGAAATTCCTATGAAGTCACTTCCGCGATCCAAATCGCAGCCCAGAACTACGCTCGACAGCAGACCGCGATGGAACGCCAATCGGTAATTAAAAAATATTATAATAACACTGAAGTAATTAAATCATTTGCGAATGTAAGAATTGAAGATATTTTTAGCCCAGGTACACGATATCGAACGCAAAGTGAGAAAGACCCGCACTATCAAAGACGATTGCGATTAAGAAGGCGCCGAGTCGAGTCCAGTGACGAAGGGTCCAGGTAAAAAAATTTTCAAAAGGCGAAATTAAAAATTAAATTTCTAAAATTAAGTTAAGAAAATTGAAAGTTAATACACATAAATCGTTCCAAGACATTGGATTAATTTTTACTAGATCGCCGTCTCCCGATCGACGAAAATTGAATAACAGTAAGTCGAAGAACCGAAGTATTATTAGGCGTAAAGTGAAAGTCGAGAATTATGACGCCGATTTATCGATGGACAGTCTGAATTCTGTCATACCTCTGCGGATTGACAAAAACGGGAAGATCCATATCGAAGAGCGTGTCGAAAAATTACAATCGGAGAACGATACGAATCAGGCAAAACGATCGGATAATAACTCTAATGTCTGGTGCGGACAAGAAATTTTATCCAAGTTGTCGTCATTGAGAAGCGTATGTAAAAAGCGAATAAGATCAATTCTTATAATTATCGTAATTAATTAAAAATTAAATTAAATATTAATATAATAAAATTATTTTAAATAATTATTTTAAAAATCACACAAAGTCGTTACTCAAATATTTTGTTGTTTAAATTTGACATTGATATTCCAGAAATGTCAAACGAATGTTGTTTGAATTTTTTTCAATATCGAGTTATCAAAAAGTTTCGTTATTTTTTAAGATACATTTATCTTTTTTCAGGGACTTCTGATGAAGCAGATCGAGTGGGACTCCGAACGATGTCTGGTCTCACCCGCTGCGTCCGAAATCTTTTAAGCGCCCGCAAGATTTTTGTTGCCACTAGAACATTTTGTTTTTCTTTTCATTTGCGTAGAAAGTGAGATCGAGTAAAACGCGAAAGGGGTTGCATCGAGGAGTATTGTTTTCTCGTGCAAACGACAAGACGCACTTAAACGTATTTTTCGCATTTTCGTTGCAGATTTAGATAATGGCCTTCCAATTGGATGATCTATTGAAGGACGACAAGAAAGACGCGAATTTAATACCTGACTTAAGTAAAGCGACTTGCAACTCTTATGAGGAGTTTCGCCGACTCAAAGAGCACTGTCCAGAATTTAAGATTAAACCGGAAAAGGTTTCTAGCCATTTTAATATACATTACAAATTTATAGCATATATAAAAAAAATAGGATCTAATTAATCAGAAAAAACTCGCTCAAAGGTAAAAAGAGAGGACACGAAAGTTCGTGACAAAGAATTTTCGTGGAAAGCGACCAAGAAGGAACTTAAGAACATTAGCAGAGAATGGACTTATGGAGATCCGGTTCCACCAGATATGAGAGAATTGGATCTGCAGGAACTGCAACAAATCGCTATCGATTGGCGTATGCTGACTCCGATCAGACCGAAGCTCCGCCAAGACGAAGAAATGTTTTCGAGATTGGTGAGGATTAATTTTACACAATTTTTTAATAGATATCGTTTGCAATTTTGTCCGAACGCAGAAACAAAATATAAACTGATCTCTCCGTTCTTCAAGGTGGAGATGGGCAAATTAGAGGTGAAGACGATAATGAAAGAACGTCGTTCGCCAACGAGTCCCATTAGACGAAGTAAGAATCGCGCGGGGATAATCGAAAGTAGCGTGAAGATCTGCAGAGAATGCGGCGAGGAATATTGCTTCGGCGAATTTTGCGGGGACGTCCTTTATGATTCTTTCACGAGAGTAACAATCGCCACTCAGCAATCGAAGATTAAAATATCCGCGGACACTGAAGCTATTATCGCCAGAATGGACCGTAAGAAGAAAAAGAAGAAAAAGGGAAAGAAAAGGGTCAAGAGTAAAAGCAGAAAATCCAGGAAATCTGCCAGACTGTTAGTCAACAGCAAGGCGAGAAGATCGATAACGGATCTCGAAAGTAAATCTGCTAAGGCGAGGAATAATAGAGGGCAAGATGAAAAACCGGCGAAACAATTTAAAAGGAAATGTAGTAAATATACGAAGAAAGGCAAGGGCCATTTACGCAAGTAATCGTTACGATGTTAAAATAAAATAAAAATAATTGGAAAGTCTGAAAATGCATATCCTCTAAAATCTATCTTATATATCTATTTGTATAATACATAATTTGTTCTTGTAGTATAAAAAGTTTCTCGGAGATGAATATAAAGAAAAATATTAATCTAATAAAACTGTAACTAAATATATGCGGTATATAAATTTTTGTCGATCTATTTATCCATAATATTTAGATGAGATAAATAAATAAAGTAAATAAGGTTCGTGTATAGGTAAAATTTCAGCATTTTTAGTAATATAAGAAAATAATTAAGAAAGCGAAATAAATAAAAATATATTCGATTAATTAAAGGAAAAACAAATTCAAAATTTTCTTTAAACAGTAAGTAAATGTACATATGCGAGTCGGACGGGCGCAGTAAATGCTCTCTATTAAATGCTGAAAAAATATAACTTTTATTCAGTTTGTCTCTCTTCTCTCTCTCTCTCTCTCTCCCTCCCTCTCTCTTTCTTTCTCCTGTCTTTTTCCAACTTGTTTTTCAAACTCATTTTACTACTCATACAATTTTCCGTAAATATCACAACCGAAAAGCATATCTTCGCGAGAAATGTTCTGTTCGCCGAGCAAGATAAATGTGAAAATATATATTTATGTATGTATATGTGTATATATACATATATCTTTATATATATATATATATATATATATATATATATTAATTTCAAGAAGAGAGAGAAGCGTATTATCCTGTGCGATTTGCAGAAACAGAATATTTCTCGTCGATATCATATCTTCTATTAGTTTCGAATGCAAGTGTTTCGTTTATGTCATTTCCTTAGTTTCCTTGGTTACATTACTAACATTCACATAAACTAACGATAAGATTTAAGTTAATCGAAACACACGCATTTTACACACCGTATGCTTTCTTCTTTTATATCATATATATATATATATAATAATATAATATTTATTATGCATTTATTATGGTATTTTTTTATATAATATTAATTTGTCACACGCTGTCGTGGTCGCAACAATCCTCCGGTGAATAAAATAAATTATATACGTAATTCTATTACATACCTATTATATAATATATATTCGACACTGTCATGCCGCGCTTTCATTTACTCTCTCTTTCTCTCTCTCTCTCTCTCTCTCTCTCTCTCTTCTTCTTATCTTATCTTTATGTTACAGTCGATATTTCGAGTGCGATCAGAGTCCTCGTGTGTGCCGTATAGTCGTAAAACTACAAGCTATATCGTGTCACGCGTCCAAAGTAGGCCAAGTAATTGCGCTGTCATTATTTTCGATGCATCGGAGAGATAAGTTCGCGGTTCGCTGCTTCAACATGTGGACCATACCGAGAGACATATTAATCAGCCTTAAAAATGCACGGCATACTATGGATTTGTAACAATCGGAGATATCGGCGCTGGCCCATTTTGAAAATGAAACTAGTCAAATTCTTGAGAGAGAATCCTTTACAAAACTATACAATTCTACATCTTGTAGTGTCCCTGACTCGTCCGCAAATCCCGTCGATCAAATCCATTTGAAATTCACGAAATTTGACCCGTGTCATCTTCAAGCAGGTCATACACGTATCGTCGGACGTATCGTCGGACGCTGATCGATCCTTCAAAAATATCCGTAAAAATCTGATCGCTAGGCCCCTGCCCCTGCAGAGTCCATCCCGGTACAACGCAACATTGCACATTTAATAAAGACATTATTCGTTAATATACATATGTACAGTGGCAATATAACATATCTCTGATTTTACAATTTCGCCTTCGATTCGCCTTCCCCGTCTCTCGTTCTCATGCAAATATCCTCGCCTCTCTCCGCTCTCTCCGCTGTGTTCGTCGCAGAACCCTGTGATGAACGAACGTTCCCCACTTCTGTCGCGAATTCGAAATGCGCGATGTACAATCAGTACGTTTCGCTAAATACTACGGCTCGTCGCGAATATCGCGCGACGTAGGCGACGTGGCGATTTGGGACAATACTTAGAAAAATATGCTATTTCTTCCTCGCAATTCGAAAGTCACCCTTCCAAGAATCTCCACTTCACTTTTTTTCCCCATGCGAGTGTAAGTACTCCGCTAACTAATTCATTAGACTAACGGTTGGATCATTATTAAACAGTATTAAATCATTCTTTAGCTTCATGAGTGTACTACTTTTTCACAAGTCATCAACGTTGTTGATGTTACGCCCAATCCCGTCGTATATTCATACTTATCTTTAGATAACAAAGCAAAATTTATTCTTCAGTGTATTCTTAAAGTATGAAATTTGATATTTTATAATAATAATAATAATTTTCCCGTACTGAAATCCAAATCGATACTGCTCGTAAAGATATTTCTTTACCTGCCGCTTCAGCTCTTTGCGATACACGAAATCACGTACATATATAGTTCTATTGCACAGAGAGAGAGACTTGAAAAATAATTTCATAGCGGTTTTGAAGAAAAGAACTTAATTCTATTGTAAATTAACTACTCGGTCAGCTATTCAGATCGCTAATTATTGTTAAATTGACATTCTTCGATGATTACAATGCCGCAAAGAGTCAAGCGATGTGTGTCATGATGAAAGGAAATTCATGCAGTCTTGTGATTATCGATCATGAAAGACCTAAACGTACAGAATGGCTATAAATAGCATCGCTAAAATTTTCTTTGATACTCTGGATTGTTGTTTCCTTGATACCACGGATTATTGTACGAAATTCAGCCTTGAACATGATCCAGAGGAGATAATGCTGGCTTTTGGCACGGGGGTATATACAATCGACACAAGCGGTTTGATTTATGCATGATAATAGTTCTTGCTGGTTTGTAATTCAAGCTCGCTCGGTATATTCTATAAATTATCTTAAACTTCTTTCTTTCTGTAAATTCCATGCAACGGATTCATCACCATGTGAATCTTTCGCGAAAGTAATGCTGGAATTTTACTTACACGATGATCTCGTATGCGCGTGTATACTTATGCGAATATATTAATGTCCCGTATACAAAATATGAATGGCTATTTAAAACAGGATAGGTATTTTCCTCCCCAAGATCCCCTTTTACACAATAAAAGCTACGAGTGATTCATTTAGTTTGCAACATACAAGCAGATATAGTACTCTTATCACACTATTGTCATACATCGCAAATCATCTCACTCTCTCCCTCTTTTCCCTTAAAATTATTGATACATGTAATTTTATGCAATTTTTAACAAATACCTCTTAATTCGTAAATTATTTAGAATAAAATGTCACACACAACAACGATAATAATCTGCTCATTCACATCAATTCGCTCACGTAATTTCTTATATATATATATATTCACATTCTTTCTCTATATTTCTGATAAAATATAAGCTAGACACTCTCTGAGAGAAATTTGAATTTTTTTTCCGATATCGCTAATATATAACTCTTGTGCTTGCTTTATACAGCTCAGCGTCTAAATAACAATAGAGGAATTATTGATAACATACTCTGACAGCAATAAAATATTTATATGATAGAATCTTTTTTATAGATTACTTCTAATGCGTGATTAAAAGATTGACCTATTACCCATTCAGTATGAGAGATGAATGGTTGAGTTTGGTCATAAATAATAGTTTTGCTATACATTTGATCGTCTCGATTACTAGATAGTCTGATTATTCAAAATATTCATAAATTATTGTGACGATAAATGTTTGTGACGAAAAAAATTTGTTTGCAAAGTAACATTTGATATAATAAATAATTGTACAAAAAAGTTATATAAAAAAATAATTTTAGTTGTTCTTATTTTCTTTTCTATCCTCATGCTTTTCTTGTAAAATAGAAGTTGTGAAACCATGAGATCTATTAATTATAATTACGATAATTGTAAAAATTATCAAATACTTCCTGTGTTAATTACCATATAATTGCAGAAACATAATCAAAAGAACGCGACAGCAAAATGTTAGTACTCGATCGTGTTTGTAAGTAAAATTGCTAACTATCATATATAAATGAAAATAAAAATATATACTTTCTATTTCTAAAAGTAGTCAATAAAAAAATCAATATCTCTTCGTAACGTTATACCTAATATTAATACAGGTATATCTATATTGCAAAAATATTAGAATACTCTCTCTCTCTCTCT